AAAATATTTTTTTATGAAAATCAACCTGATATTGATTTTTAACCTTCGATAAAGGCGCAATTAAATTTTATGGTTTGTTTTCAGAATTGCCCGGATTCTGCTTGGGTTCCTGGTAAGTAATTTTTTTATTTTATTAATAATTATAGTTTTTTGTATATGATTTCAAATCAAGTTTAATCCATTGCGATTAATACTAATGTTTTTATGATTCAATTAATAATTTATTTATAAAATTAATGAAGTAACTGAAAACCTGAAATATATTAGAAAACTTCATATCCTTTTATATATATCTATATATATATATATATATATATATATATATATATATATATATATATATATATATATATATATATATATGAGTAAGTTCTTCAAGGGCAATACATCAAATAAAAGGCAAAGATTTAGAAGTTAATCTTTAATTTTTCCCAAACGTTTCGACATAGGATTTTATGTCATCATCAGTGGATCTACAGAATGAACATTGATAAATTAATATAAACTAGGAAAAAATGACAGAAATTGGAAACTATAGATACAAGTATTATAATTATAACAACAATAACAATTATAACTAAACAGATAGACAAACATAAGAAATGAAAAGTAAAAAGAAATATATACAAACATACAAAAGCGTAATACATATACATAAATATGTATATAAACAGTACACATATATACAATATAGATGTACAAACACGTATACATATATATATATATATATATATATATATATATGTATATACATATATATACACACAATACGTATATATATATATACATTTATATATATATATATATATATATATATATATATATTGACTCTTGCATCGGAATGCGGAATAGCGAGATGTACTTTACAAGTTCATAAAAAACTCATTCTAAAATTTATATATTGTTTAATTTAAAGTGACAAGAATTAGTTTTACTGTGCATTATGAACAATTATAATTTTGAAATAATTAGGATTATTACAATTACATAGTCCACTGAAGATGACACAAAACAATGTGTCGAAACGTATGGAAACAATAAAAAGTCATACAAGTTTTTAATTGATGTATTGCCCTGAAGATTAATCTCACATATCTCAACATCAAAATATAAAAATTTAATATATCTATATATATATATATATATATATATATATTAGGGTGGTCCTTAAAATGGTCATTTTCGAATTTCCTTGCTCCCAGGGGCTCAAATGGTTCCATATAGATAAAAAACAATTCTCTGAAAATTTTAGCTCTTAATATTAACGTTTAGATAGAGCGCAATTCAATCAAAGTTTTGTATGGAAATAGCATAAAATTTTTTTCAAAAATTTTAAAAGTGTTTTTTAAATGTAATTTAGCGAACAAATGAATGAATAAAACTCATTCATTTGTCGCTAAGTTATACTTAAAACATTTTTTTTTAATTTTCAAAAATTTTTCCATGCTCTTTCCATACAAACTTTGATTGAATTGCGCTCTATCTAAACGTTAATATTAAGAGCTAAAACTTTCAGAGAATTGTTTTTTATCTATTTGGAACCATTTGAGCCCCTGGGAGCAAGGAAATTCGAAAATGACTATTTTAAGGACCACCCTAATATATATATATATATATATATATATATTGTATGATTCTGAATTGGATGTTGATATTAGTATTAACAAAGTCTAATAATCAGGCATAACATCAATAAAAAACATGAATTTCTTTCAAAAATTTATTTTAAGTCCATACGTTTCGGCTATAATCCTAGCCTTCATTCAGTGGAAACTAAAAATAAAATTAAAAACTAAAACAATTGAATTGGAGTGAAAAGAAAAAATAAAATAGTAAATAGTACTTACAATTAGTTGATCTTAGTGTTAAATTGGAAAATTTTAATAATCCATGGTATTAGGATATGGTAATGCACTACACTATGTATTATAAACATTAACTTGAAATTACACAATATTTTCACAAAATACTGATTTTAAAAAATCACAAATGGATAGTGTGTTATTCGTAGACTGGTTGAAGATGTAATGGAGAAAGACTTTTTCCATTTTTAGTTTCCACTGAATAAAGGCTAGGATTATAGCCGAAACGTATGGATTTAAAATAAATTTTTGAAAAAAATTCATGTTTTTTATTGATGTTATGCCCGATTATTAGACTTTGTTAATATATATATATATATATATATATATATATATATATATATACAAACATATACACATATACACATATACACATATATAAACAACAAAGGTAACTTACATAAATATGGTTTTACATCAGTAACTAGCGCATGGCACACACACACACACACACACATATATATATATATATATATATATATATATATATATATATATGTAGTTATTATTACTGTTGTATGATTTTATTTCATCTACTTAAAATGACTACCACTGGATAACGTTTTCAAATCTCATATTTGCGTCTGTATTTATCAACAAAATTACTGAATGCCTTACCAGGTAAATTGTAATTACATGAATATATATATATATATATATATATATTTATACGAAACTTATTTAGTAAAATAAATTAAAAAATATTGTTTAGATATGTACCTATTGGTTGATACTTTTTTTATAGGAAGTAAATTAAATTTAATAGATTAAAACAAATATATACATTGATCAACAAAACATTACAGGTGAAGAATGCGCCGATATGAAAAAAAGAATTGAAAACTGTCCATTGCCCTTCAAGGATCATACAATGTGAAAATATACGCTGATATGTATTTATTCTTATATATTAAATGAACTCAAATATCAAAAAAGTAGTAAACTGAAATATGAACAAATAAAGTATTAATTGCAGTAATGAATATTTCACTTATCTTTTGAAGTTTAATTTATTTTAAACACAATTTATAATCGTATTATTGTTCAAAACAATGTTTTCTTAAGCATGGTTTTACTTTTTTTCAGTCGGTACTAATACCTTAATAATAATATTTATATAAATTTACTACAACTAATGATTTAATAAGTTTTACTGTAGAATGATATAAAAAAAAACTCAAGTCTTTTTATTTTAATTTTAGTTATACAAATCTTTATATTCGTCCGATCACTCAAAGTTTTTATTTTAGACACATTAAATCTTTACAGCACTTTATAAAATAGTGAAGAAAACCTAAATTTTATGACTATACTTCTCAAGTTTCTTTATTTCAATTTTATTGATTTTAAATTTAAAACATTTTAGAGAGGAATTGAAAACAAGAAAAATCATGTGATTTAGTTTATCGAGAATCATGCGCTATGAAGATAAATTAAGTCAAACTAGATGGTATTGGTATTTTGTCTTGAGGCAAGTTAAATGAACTTCCCGGTATATGTAAATAATTGACTTAATCAATAAAATATAAATCAATTTATGAGTGATTAAAAGTATTCCGAGTGGATTTATTACACATAATTTAAAACGAACGAGTACGTTAATTCGGAGTATTTTCTAAAAGCAAATTTTTACAAATCAACATTTTTTATGATTGAACTAGTATTCGTAAGACTTTAATAGTTTAGTATTAAAGTAAGTATACCAAGTAAATCGTCTAATTTTAATTTGAACAAATGTCAAAAATACTACTCATTTTCTCTAAATTTCATGAATTTTTAAAATTAAACTACTTGTCGCATGGCCATAATATTTCAGTAAGGTCTATAAGACTATGATATATATCCAAATTTTCCTTAAAAATCGGCTTAATTTTTTTTTCAACAATTAATTACAAGAAAACGGCTCGGTAGATTTTTACCTAAAACTAATTAGAATCATTCCCAACTAATATCTTTCGAACAGTTTTTGATTTTTTAAAATCGATTCGGTAGTATGAGCTTAAATGTGGACGAAAAGTTTAACTTTTTTTTCCAAATTACAAAGAAGCGGCTCGGCCGATCGTCGCACAAAACTGACAAATGATAGTCCTCATCGAGATACATCAAATGGCTTTTAAATTTCTGAAATCGGTTCAGGCGTTTTTGAGAGAACGTCGATCAAAGGTCTAATTTTGAAACGCCGAGAAAACATAAAATTAGCGAATCGGATTTTTTGATGAAAGCATAAACTTCTCCTTCGGGAAGTTAATAAATAAGATTTTGTTCAAATGGTAATATTTAATCATTACCTATATTTCTGAAAATTTATAACAGCTCAATTAATTTTTTATTTATAACAGTTAAAAAATATAACATTGATGGTATTTTTGGAATCAAATTATACAGGATGAAAGCAATTGTGATCTCTAGCAGTTTTCTTATATTCATTCCAAACATAATAAAAAGCGATTACAATACTATTAATCCTGACTTGATATAGGTTTTTTCATCGTAGCGTATGCGGTATATTGTATATTTCATTAATTATTTATAATATTTATCATTTTATGTTATGAATAATAAAGAGAGTGAACTGATAACCATGTTTTCAACGCATTAACAAACCAGGTGATTTTCAATTTTATTTAAATTAGACAAAAAAACTGAAGATTCCAAAGCCAAAACTCCAAAACTGAGATCATTTCCAAAAAACTGTGGATCTACAGGTAAAACTGAAGAGTTGGCAACTCTGCTTCAGATAAACTGTTAAGGTATTTTTTGAATTAACATGATATTACAAGCAGTAAAATATAAGTATGAATTTCAGTAAAATCAAGTTCTTAAAATTAAAATAATTCATCTCGAAATGAAATACATGTTAAAACGGATATTTATATACATATAAATATAAATGCGTGCTTTCTATTGAGAGCAATATTTAATTTCATTATAAATGCAAATAGCACGTAACAAATTTAATTAGATATTCTATCAGCGTGAACCATGACAAAATCGATTTTCAAATTCATTTCACACATCGTTTTGAAAAATTAATTCTGTTGCAGGCGCGACTTGATTCAAGCGAACCATTTCGCAAAATATATTAGGAATGAAATTAATTGTTAATAGTTTCGATTTTAAAACTGAAACTTTTACGTCATGTTTTTTAAATTTTTATTATTAATAAGCTTTTGTGTGGTGAGTTGTTATTGCTTGAATTTTGCAAAATTTAATTTGCAATAGATTAAATTTAATAGAAATATTTATTGAAAGTTAAAAATATTTTAGGCCAATGGGATAGACAACAGTTGCACTATACCGTTTCCCAATCTTTTCGTTGTATGTATGATATGGAATTTTAAAAACTTAATAAGATGTCTGCTAAATATTATTCCCAAATTTCAGGATTATAAGTATTGTTGTAAATGGCCTAGTTGGTTTGACGAGCATAATGTGAGAAGTTGCGCTAACAATTTTGAAACTTCTGAAGAAATACATAAAGATATTCAGGTTCTCTTCTAACTAATATGACATTTTACTTAACTCTGAACTCTTTTCTTTCCGGATTCGTAGTAAGATATACGATCTGCGCTCTGCTGCAATTTTTCTACGAGAAATTATTTAAATACAATTTTTAACATGTAAACATTTCAGAAGACTATTCAAAAATTCGCAGGTTTCTCAATGTTTGGCCGAGTGTGTTTTTAGCACTAATGGTATACTGCACAACTACACAATAGAGCAGAAAGGGGTACTTGAATGGGCTAATGCAGAAATGGATAATCTCGATGTACAGGATCCTCACATTCGACATTTACACCAAGTGGCATCGTGGCTTTGCGTTAAATCAGCTTCAAAAATAGGTAACTTTTATTTTTAAATATTTTTGCTAACCTCAATTTTAATTCACGTCTATACTAACTTAATGAAGTTCTTTGCATTATTATCAATCTGCTTGTCGGGTAATTCAATAAAAAAGTTGAATAAATTTTGATTTAGGTTATATGAGTCATTTCAATAAAATTTGTCAAAGAATCCAAAAATAAAGAGATTCAAGCCAGCGCAATTTTGAAGAAAGTTCTTCTTCATTGCCAAATTTGCTAAACTTAAACTTTCAATCTCAATAATATTTTAGGGGGTTTGTTTTGACTAGCAACAACTTTATTACCATGCAAAGATGCAACTTTATTACCATCAATTTCACAGATGTGCAATCAAAATTTTCTTGTATGTTCATACTTAAATACATGGAAAAAATAATTATTCAAAATTAACTATGATTTCTTTGGCAAAGATTTTGAAATAACCCATAGAACCCTTATTGAGATGTGCTTCATTGGCAGAAAATTTTGACCCAACTTAATATATATATTAATATATATATATATATATATATATATATATATATGTGTGTGTGTGTGTGTGTGTGTGTTGAATTGGACAGTAATACCAAGTAAAAAACTAAAGTAATTGTGATAAGCTTTATTAACCATACGATTCAGTCTTCGTCGAGACCGTCATTCATTGGAACAAAAACATATTTTTGTACCGTGTTATTGAAGTCTATATACTGAAAATCTAGAGCAAATTAATGTTTCTAAAAACGTTGTGGCCCTCATATATAATTTTTGACCCTTAAAAATGATTTTGTTTTTAAATATAAAAGATAGACTCTTAGGAAACACTATTAAATTGTGATCAAAACTTCATAAGTAAAACATTTTATAAAATTGAAATTTAAATTAACTTTTTTACTGATTTTTGCACATTCAAACAAGTCCATTTCATTTTTCTAACTTTTTGAAAGAGTTTAGAAAATATGAACTAGCAGGTCATTTTATGATTTCTGGACGTTTTCAAAGATTAATATCAAAACTAAATTTTCTTAATAAAAATCTTTAAAAGTGTCGAAATTGAAAAACAAAATTATTTACATGCAGATTTTCTCGTTTCCCACTTTTTAACTAGTTTTATTTAAAAAATCCTAGTAAACTTCCCGAAGAAAAAGTTTGTTCTTATCAAAAAATCCGATTCGCTAATTTCATGTTTTCTCGACGTTTCAAGCATTCTGAATCGACGAATGAGACAAAATTAGGAAAAAGTATGTGTGTGTGAACAGCGCTGAGGACTAGCGTTTATCAATTATCTTTGGAAATAGCAGAAAGTAAAAAAATTTTCGTCCGCGTTTTAGCCCGTATTCCGAATCGATTTTGAAAATTCAAAAATTGTTCGAAAGATGTTGGTTGGGAATCGACCTGATTAGTGTTATTAGTGGTAAAGATCGGCCGGGCCGTTTTCTTGTATAAAGTGTTAAATAAAATTTTCGACGTAGATACCATAGTCTTATATCATTCTAAAATATTACGATCCTACGACAAGTCGTTTAATTTTAAAAATTTGTCAAAGTTTGCATAAATTAGTATCGTTTTTTGAAAGTTTTGAATTAGAACATTCATCAACGTTTGCTTAAAAACGCCTGAACCGACTTCAAAATTTTAGAAGCAATTCCATGTATTTCGATGTGGATTATCTGAGCCACATCTCAGATTTCTTTGTAAATAGTAGAAGAGTGAAAAATGTATCGTCCACGTTTTAGTTCCTGAATTGATTTTAAAAAATCAAAAACTGTTCGAAAGATATTTTGTTTGGGATTGATACTCATTAGTTTTAGTTAAAAATCAACCCGGCTGTTTTCTTGAAATTAACTGTTGAAAAAAATATTTTCGCCGATTTTTATGAAATTATTTTGATGTCAGATATCATGGTCTTATAAAACACATGGTCTTAAAAATTCATGAAAGTTTGAGAAAGTTATATAGTCAAAATGTGTTTTTATGTTCAATTAATTCTTACACATTTCGGGTTGTTTGTGCAACTTGCCTTAAGACTAAATGTCACTTTCAACTAGTTTTTATTTTGGTTTATTTATATAATGCAAAATTTCATATTATTTCATTATAAATTATAGTATATGTCACGTATTCATAGTTCTTGTTATTCATAATAAAATACGATAATTTATATTCTTACTTTATTAGTTTTGGTTATTTAAGACCATATTCTTGATAAATGTTCTGAAGATGCAACTTGCATAGTTCTGAAAGGTTGACAATAAATAATGAATCTAGGGATCATTTTCCTATTTAAAACATTATAAAATATTGAGAAATGTTTCAGCTGATACTTGGTTTTTAGCAATAAGGCACAAAACGAGTTTAGTTATTAGAATAAATGCGTATTTATTATTTCCATTAAATTCTCAGATCGTTTCATAAACTACTATGAATGCCGCGCAACAGTAAATGCTTACCTGCAATGCTATGAAACAATGTTATTATACGTAAGTAGAAATTTATTTTTTCATATTCCATTTCATTTGACTATAATTATTAACAATATTTTATTTCAGTATTGTCCTTCACAGCTGAAAAATATTGAAGGTTTGTTGGGTATTGATTATTATCAGCTATTCAAATAATTAATTTTTATTAACACATACTTATAATTATTTTAGAAAATGTATGCAGAGCGTATTGGAACTCTATGTTAGGATGCTATATACATAGACCTGATTTTGCAATTGATGCTAAATTTAAATATTAACGTTTTGGATTCAATAATTCTCCGATAAATAATTATTAAATTTAGTTTATTTGCAATTTCTCTAGATTTTTGTCAATATTTTATGTAATAAATATATTATCAGGAATTATGTTGATAAATGTTTTTATTGTTATTAAAAAAATAATATGGAACAAGATATCAGTCATCAGACCTATATTTTCATATTTTAAGCAACCAGAAATATTAATCAATCAATATATTATATTAATTAGGCTGAAATAAAATATTAGGAGTAGACTGATTTTTACTTGAAATTTTTATTATAAGATCTACTTTCTAAGGTTGCTAGTTATAAGTTTTAACATTTTTAACCCTCCGTCGGTCGGCGTGGTCTGGCCAGACTGTTTTCGACTTCAATTAAAAAAAAATATTTCTAGTAATCCTATCGACTTGAAATTTCTTGATTTTTCCTAAAATTTAATTAGCTGTCGATCAATGAAAAAATCAGAACGAAAAAATGTACAGAAGGATAACTATAAGGATATTATTTTTTTAACTTCCCGTAGGGTAAGTTATAGTAATCGCAAAAAAATCGAAAATGAAAATTTTTATATATCTTTACGTTTCAGAGGTTTCTGAACATTTTGGCATACCTTAGAAAAAATGGATGTATGTGTGTGTGTGTGTGTGTGTGTGTGTGTGTGTGTGTGTATGTACGTGTGTGTATGTATGTGCGGATACAAATTTTCGTCGACGATTTCGGGAACACGGATCAACCGATTTGAATAATTTAAAAAACATTCGATTCGTATTGATAAGGAGACGTGCTGATTAGTTTTTGGCGAAGGCAGGTCTAGCCGTTCCGAAGATACGGGGCAAAAAGTGCCGAAAACGGTAACTCAGTTTTTAAGAGAACGGAGCGTCCGATTTGAATAATTCAAAAAACGTTTCACTTGTATTGACAAGATGAAAAATCGATAAAATTTTCATGAAGGTAGGTCTAGCGGTTTCGGAGATATGGAGGAAAAAGTAAAAAAATGAGCCATTTGGCGGTCAAAAATGATCATTAGACATATGCACATCAAATTATCAGATATTTTATAGAGATTTTAACAATAAGTATACATTTTGTTAACATTCCTATAGGTTCCGTACCAATGCTTATGCGTTAGACAGCGACGCGGCGCTTACGCGCTTTATATTTTGTCCCTATGCAGTTAAAGCAGTACGATTGCTTTGAAAAAAAAGTTCAGATCTTCCACAATATGTCAAAATAAAGAAAAAAAATTTTTTTTTTCAAAAAAAAAAAAATTAAAAAAAAAACTTTTTTTTCAAAAAAAAGTAATTTTTTGTCCAATTTATAGTTTCTCAAAAATCTTATTTTTTCAAAGTAAATTTTTTTCAAAAATGTTAATCGTTTTTAAAAAAATAATAATTTTTGGTACGGGAAGTTCCAGCAATTTGCCTTAAGGCACGATGCCTTAATTACCTTAAGACAGAATTCCACTTACAGCTAGTTTATACTTCGAACGGTCAAAGTGGTCTGTCTAGACCACCCATACATTTTGTATGAAATATACGCTTTTTGATATATGTAAATCAGTATTTTGTCTTTTTTCTGGTATTTTCTATTCAAACTGCATTTTATATATTCTTTGCTATGTGTTGTAACATGAATGTTAGTATTTTCACGACGAGAGTTCCTTGAAAACCTACCAAACTTATTGATCATCGCAAACATTGAAAATCGGATGAGTAATGCGCACGTTATCAACAATTTTTCTACCCGTACTGCGTTCGAAAATGTTTTTGGCAAACTTGTAGTGAAATTATATTTTCAACTTGAATTTTACAGCTCATTTCAAAGGCGACGCACCTCATTTCGTTTTCATTTGAATTTCACATTCATTTCGAAGGACCCCAAAAAGAATAAATATTGTTTTTCATTGATATAAAACAGAAAAATAAAGATAATAAAAAAGCAACGATTTTTTATGTTCTTTGATTTTTTTATATAATATAATATAATATATATTTTTTATTATAATCAAGCTCAACACATGCAAAAGACGGTAAGAAAAAGAAAAAATTAAAACAATAAGTATTTATTACTAATAACCAAATTTGAACCAAATTTTTTTGACCAAATTTTTTTTCAAAATTTTTTTTCAAAATTTTTTTGACCAAAATTTTTCTGACCAAAATTTTTTTCCAAAATTTTTTGGGCCAAAATTTTTTTGAACTAAATTTTTTTAACCAAAATTTTTTTTCCAAAATTTTTTGGACCAAATTTTTTTTGACCAAAATTTTTTTAACCAAAAATTTTTTTCCAAAAATTTTTTTGACCAAAATTTTTTTCGACCAAAATTTTTTTCCAAAAATTTTTCGGACCAAAATTTTTTTTCAAAATTTTTTTTGACGAAAATTTTTTTCCCAAAATTTTTTGGACCAAAAATTTTTGTTGGCAAAATTTTCTTGACCAAAATTTTTTTGTCCAAAAATTTTTTTGACCAAAAATTTTTTTTCCAAAATTTTCTGGGCCAAAATTTTTTTGACCAAAATTTTTTTGACCAAAATTTTTTTGACCAAAATTTTTTTTCCAAAATTTTTTGGACCAAATTTTTTTTGACCAAAATTTTTTTAACCAAAAATTTTTTTCCGAAAATTTTTTTGCCCAAAAATTTTTTTCTCAAAATTTGTTGGATCAAATTTTTTTGACCAAAATTTTTTTCCCAATTTTTTTTTGACTAAAAATTTCTTTCCGAAATTTTTTTGTGCCAAAATTTTTTGACCAAATTTTTTTTGACCAAAAATTTTTTTGACCAAAATTTTTTTGACCAAAATTTTTTTGAGCAAAAATTTTTTTCCCAATTTTTTTTTGACCAAAAATTTTTTTGACCAAAATTTCAAAATCGTTTCGATGTATCAGGAGAACAGTCACATTTTTACATTTGACAGCACATCGACTGAAACTTTTGTGTTGTGCACCGTTGAAAACACATTTAAAATTAATTTTCTGTAAAATTATTTTACATTTTCGTTGCCAACCATTGCTTAGAAACCGTTAAAATGGTAACCGTTGCTAACAAAATTTTCAGTGAATTTATTTTATTAAATGGTTTCTAAGCAAATTTTTGGGCCAAAATTTTTTTGACCAAAATTTTTTTCCCAATTTTTTTTTGACCAAAATTTTTTTGACCAAAAATTTCTTTCCGAAAATTTTTTGTGCCAAAATTTTTTGACCAAATTTTTTTTGACCAAAAATTTTTTTGACCAAAATTTTTTTGACCAAAATTATTTTGACCAAAAATTTTTTTCCCAAATTTTTTTCGACCAAAAATTTTTTTGACCAAAATTTTTTTGACCAAAATTTTTTTGACCAAAAATTTTTTTCCCAAAATTTTTTTGACCAAAATTTTTCTGACCAAAATTTTTTAACCAAAATTTTTTGGACCAAAAATTGTTTTCCCAAAATTTTTTTGACCAAAATTTTTTTGAACAAACATTTTTTTCACAAAATTTTTTTGACCAAAAATTTTTTGACCAAAAATTTTGTGACCAAAAATTTTTTTCATAAAATTTTTTTGACCAAAATTTTTTTGACCAAAGTTTTTTTGACCAAAAATTTTACACAAAATTTTTTTGACCAAAATTTTTTGAACCAAAAATTTTTTTCCCAAAATTTTTTGGACCAAAATTTTTTTGACCAAAATTTTTTAACCAAAATTTTTTTGACCAAAAATTTTTTTCCCAAAATTTTTGAACCAAAATTTTTTGGACCAAAATTTTTTGGACCAAAATTTTTTGGACCAAAATTTTTTTGACCAAAAATTTTTTTGACCAAAATTTTTTTGACCAAAATTTTTTTGACCAAAATTTTTTTGACCAAAAATTTTTTTGACCAAAAATTTTTTCACAAAATTTTTTTGACCAAAATTTTTTCGACCAAAATTTTTTCTCCAAAATTTTTTTGACCAAAATTTTTTTTTCCAAAATTTTTGACTAAAAATTTTTTTGTCCAAAAATTTTTTTCCCAAGATTTTTTGGATCAAAATTTTTTAACCAAAATTTTTTTGACCAAAAATTTTATTCCCAAAATTTTTTGGACCAAAATTTTTTTGACCAAAAATTTTTTTGACCAAAATTTTTTTGACCAAAATTTTTTTGAACAAAAATTTTTTTCACAAAATTTTTTTGACTAAAATTTTTTTGACCAAAATTTTTTTGACCAAAAAATTTTTCACAAAATTTTTTTGACCAAAATTTTTTGACTAAAATTTTTTTGACCAAAATTTTTTTGACCAAAAATTTTTTTCACAAATTTTTTTGACCAAAATTTTTTTGACTAAAAATTTTTTTCCCAAAATTTTTCCTCAAAGAGGAAAGAGGAGAGGAACCGCAGGTTCGGACATTTGGTTCACGCACTCGGTCGAGCGGCCGGTGGTGCGGAGCTACCATCCGTGGGATTATGCCTGAACGCCTCTAAGGCCGTATCCTTTCTAGACAAAGTAAGCAACGATATCTCTAGGAGTCTCGTGAGTTGAAAGGCTCAATACAATGTGATTTATTAGGTATTCGGCACACGCCGTTTATCGCACGAGCCATTTTTAGCCGAATGAGGCGCTGGACAGTGGCGGTATCCATCCGTTATATCTGTCCTGCCTATAGCGGTCGATCATGGGTCACTAGTTCGATGTCGAGACTCGGAATCGTTTGTAAACGACTTAGGTACCTGGCGGGGTGTTGTACTCGGTAGAGCAGTTACCACGCTGCGATCTGTTGAGACTCAGCCCTTGGCTTGGGGATTCGTCATGTTGGCTTGACGTCACCCCACGCTATTAGAGCATAAGCCTTAAGTCTTACGTTGTAGCCGGTCACAGTATGCCACAATCATTTCGACTTTCCCAATTTTTTTTTGACCAAAATTTTTTTGACCAAAAATTTCTTTCCGAAAATTTTTTGTGCCAAAATTTTTTGACCAAATTTTTTTGACCAAAAATTTTTTTGACCAAAATTTTTTTGACCAAAATTATTTTGACCAAAAATTTTTTTCCCAAATTTTT